ACACACACACACACACACACACACACACACACACACACACACACACAGGCCTAGAGATCAGGAGACCTGCACACTCCCACTGCATCTTGGGTAAATAGTACATCACTAAGGAACTGGCACTGAGGGAGACACCCCTGGAACCTCTTTCACAGTTCAACCTAGGGTAGGGTGGGGCTACTGATCTGCCTGTTGTAGACAAAGGTGGCAGGAAGCCTGGCCTCAGGGGTGTAGCTTGGGACAGTCCTTCTGGGAAGGGGTCCCTCAGCCATGCTGGGGGGGGGGGCAGGGGGGCGGGCAGGGTGCCGGGGCCCTGACCATAGCAGAAAGGTTATGGGCGGCCGTTTTGGAGCTCAGGGCGCAGCCAGCACACACAGGAGCCCACAGAAAAGCCACGGCTTCACAGAAACCGCAAAGTCAGGACCTGGGCCAGGACCTCAGGGACAAGCGCCCCCGGTAAACAGAGAGACGCAGTAGCAGCAGCTTCTGAACTACATAGTAATGGGGGGAGGACCCTGAAGACCACTGCATCCCACCAGCACCAACAACTACTTCAGAGTTCGAATTTCCTCCACTCCAACCTCAAATGGATTCATGGGAAGTGGCTGAAACGGGCAGGAGAAAACTGTTGGGGTGGAGTGAGGAGGGACGGCAGGATAGTCTGAGGGTCTAGAAACAGAACAGAAAATTTTCAGCCTTCAGCACATCCTAGACTAGAAAAAGAGAGAAGTAGAGAATAGGGGAATTGAAACTGAGGTCTGCTATGTCACCCCCACTCCCCTGCTCCCCATTAACCACCCAGCCAGCCCCGGTCAGGTCAGCAGGACTACTAGGGTGAGGAAACTTCTGACAAAGGACAGACGAACCACCCAGTCTCCAAGAGCAGATGAGGGGGGGATGGGAAGGCAGGAATAGACTGATCCATGCCTCACCTTCTCCTAACAACACAAGAGGATGAAGATGGGAAACCTGAGGCCCACCCCCCAGTGCCCTGGATCCCAAACACGCCCCATGGTCTTGCTCTCCCCATCTTCCTCACAAGCTCCCGAGGAACAGATCTAAGGATGAGGAGGGTCAGCTGAACACTGGGCTGATAAGAGTGAGTGGGCTGTTCTCTCCTTCCCAGTAACAAGGCAAGGCAGAATGGCATCTCCTTGGGAACAGTCATCTAGAGATAAAGACCATCCCCCTGCCCTGAACAGGATGGAGAGAGGGGTACAAGGAAGATGGCTGTGGAAAAATCCATCATCTGTCCTATCATCCAGAAAAACCCACCTGCAGAGAGGAGAGGAACCAGCTCAAGACTGGGGCAGCCTTCCCTCTACCTTCTTCCCTTTATCTCACCGACATGGGAGGGACAGATGACAGGCTGGAGTGGGCAGTGACCTGGCTCCCAGCACCGAGCTGCACTCCACACCTCCACCCTGGCCCCCGCATATATATCTCTCTATACATGTATATACACGCGCACACATGCACGCACACACAGAGAGGCCCGTGCAATATCCATGTAGAACAGGGAGAGAGTGGCAAAGGAGAGGAAGACGGGGAGTAGGAGGAACCTGTGGGGAGAGGGAAGGGACTGAGATGCCAAGAGCACAGCAACCAGAGCCAAACGAAGCGAACGGAGAGAATACCCCACCCCCCACCTCCCAAACCCCAGAGGATGAGGGGGGGCCACCCATGAAACCATAACAACCTTGTTTTTGTTTTAAATCCGATAAATTGGAATGATTCATCATCAGGACAGCAACTGGGGACTGGTCATGGACAGGGGATGGGGCGGGGGGAGGCAGGGGAGGCAAGGCTCTTGTTGGGCATGCGGACATGATACCCAGGGCCCTGGCCACACTGGCAACGGGAAGGAAGGGGCAGGGCTGGGGCAGGGAGACAGTAGGTGTGTCAGGGATAGGCGGGGTGGTCGGATAGGGCTGCCTGGCTCTCACTTCTTGTTTTTGAGCTGATTGGCCAGCCAGTCCAGGCCTTCGTACAGCCCGTCCCCGCTGGTGGCACAGGTGGCCTGAATGTACCAGTTGCGGTGACGCAGAGAATGCAGGCCCAACTTGTCTGTGATCTCAGCAGCGTTCATAGCATTAGGCAAATCCTGGAGCACAAGGGAGACACACAAAAAGGAGGCTCAGGATCTTTCAAAGGCTTCTAGAACACCCATCTACCAAAGAGATGTGTACCAGCACCCTCTCCTCCTCCACCGTAGGAACCAGAACAAGGTCCTAAAGAGCTGCTTTGGATTTATTCATCCCAGAACCATAGATCCAAGGCACTAAAGGTCATTCCATTGGGGAGCTGCAAACCAAATATGGGGTTGTAGGGAAGTGAAGAGGTGATTCAGGTCTGTCTGACTATAGAAGTGAGGGCAGTTCCACTGAAGTAGACAACAGGGAAGTTGAAGGAGGGATCTGAGGTATCTACCACAACAATCCCTGAGGACAGAAGTGTTGCTAATTAAAGCTGGGTAGGGGACAAGAAGAGGAACATAAAGAAGCCAGCTAATCATATTCCCCACACTTCCAAAATTGAGAACACAGTCCCAGGGCTTCCCCTACAATGAGCCCCAACGCCCAGGATTTCCACAGCCAGGTTGACCTCTCTCAAATCCAGGGTGGGGAGAAGTCTCACCTGTTTGTTTGCAAAGACAAGGAGCACTGCATCCCGGAGCTCATCCTCTGCCAGCATCCTCATCAGCTCCTCTCGGGCCTCATTTACTCGCTCCCGATCATTGCTGTCAACCACAAATATCAACCCTAGGGAGGCAGAGCATGTGCTGCGTAAGATAGCAGATGAACTCCCCTCATCCCTACCACCAAAAGACAACACCCTCCATACACCCTCCAAGTATTTGCCCCCTTTCCTCCTGTTCTCCCACCCCTAAGGAGCTGTGGCAGGGCAAGGACTGGCTGCCCATAACCAAGAATGACAGCCACACCTTCTGCTCACACCCAACCAACCCGTGCCAAGCTGGGCGACTCATATGCCATACCCTGGGTGTTTTGGAAGTAGTGTCTCCAGAGAGGTCGAATCTTGTCCTGGCCACCCACATCCCAGACTGTGAAGCTGATATTCTTGTACTCCACTGTCTCCACGTTGAACCCTTTGGAAAAAACAGACAATGGCCACTTGGCCTCCAACACCAGGCCTGCAAACAATACCCCGGTGGTTTGTTTCTGTTTCCCCCAGCCTGGCTCTGATCCTAGCAAAGGAAAGAAAGCTGAGGCTTCCTCGGGCCTAGTATTCCCTGACCTAGTAGCCTAAAGGCCAAAAAAAACAACAACAACCCTTAGAGAAAAGATAGAAGAGGATGAGGAGGGCCAGTCAGGAGGTTCACAATCCCCTTGGTCACATGAGCTACCCTTCTCTGCTCATTCTCTGTCTTTGCCTCTCTCTCCTGCAAAGAAATGACTCAGCCCCACTCCTGTACCTCAGCCATCACGAGTCTGCCACAGCTAAAATGTAAGGCCTGGGAAACACAGTGAAGAAAAAGTGAGCTCTAGTCCTGGAGCCCCAGATGCAGAACCAGTGGACAACGATGATCTGGAGCCCCATCTAAAAGGCAAACGTTCTCCCTCCCACAGGCAGGTCTTCACCAGGATCAGGTCCACTGAGGATCTAAACTGAAACAACTCCTGGCCTCTGGCAGGAACATCAAAGCCTTTCACCCGCTTTCCAAACAACACAGAGAACAAACCAGCTCAGTGCCTGAGGGCAACTGTTCAGTGCCAGGCTGCGGAAGTTCCCGCATCAGAGAGGGCCCGGGTAGGTGGGCAAACGGCAGCCCCAGCACCTGCTAGTAAGCTAAATAACCATCCTTCCTTGAATCCCCCCAAGTTGCATAGACTTGCCTGGTGGCCAGGTGGGGGATCTAGGAATAGGCCCCTTGCCTGGCCCAGCTGTTGGCATGAAAGCTTACATCTAAGCTGTGCCCTTACCAATGGTGGGGATGGTGGTGACGATCTCCCCCAGTTTCAGCTTATACAGGATGGTGGTCTTTCCTGCAGCATCCAGGCCCACCATCAGGATGCGCATCTCCTTCTTCCCAATCAGGCTCTTCAGAAGGTTTCCAAAGATATTACCCATGATCACAGCAACCACTTTCTGAGGACAGGAGGGCTCAAGTGGGGGCAGTGGCAGTCTGGTTTTGGCCTGGGCCCTGGTATGGAGAACTCGATCCTAAGGCAAAGAAACATAAACTCATTACCACATCTGCTAGTCAGGATTCCATGTAAATGGGATTTGCCAAAGTCATGGCTGGAATTTATAACAAGCTATGAAGATCAAGTCCCACTCAGACACATCCTGAGTCTTTGGGAGCGGAGACAAAGCCGTGAACACTCAGGATCCCTGCTCTGCCATAATGTACCGGTGTGACTTTGGATGAGTTATTCCCCCATCCATATCTGTCCCTATAAATGGAGGGGACTGAACTAGATGACTTCTGAAGTCCCTTCAGTTCTGACACTCTACACCATACAAGGCCTTGCAAGACCATGAATGCCCCTCCCTCCCGCAACCTTCCCCTGAGACTCCTGGAAAGGCTGGGAGAGGAGGGAGCGGAATGAGGAGTGGCTCTTTGTGACTCCTGACAAGGTTCGGGCTTGCCAGGTTCCCAAGGTCCATACTCAAATCAAGAGACTTCACTTCTTCCCTTTCCCTATGTCTGCGATTCCACCTTCTTTCCACACACCAAAACTAATCAGGAAGAAATAAGGTGAAAGTTGTGCCCTGTTCATACAACGGTGTGCCTAGGCTACCCCTCATTCCTAGGCTCATCGTGGCCCGAGGACAGCTTCTCCACTTTCTCACCTGCACTGAGGCAGTCACCTCATTCCCTGCCTCCTCCCTAACCCCCTTCAGTCTGTTCTCCACACAGCAGTCAGACTACTTTTAAAACCAAAATCAGGTCATGCTGCTTCTCTGTTCAAAACCCTCTCTTGGCTTCCTGTCTCCCTTTCAGTAAAATCCAAAACCATACCGTGGCTTGCAAGGTCCTGCACGATCTGCATTCCCCTGCTTCTCGTTAGATCTTCTACTACTCTTCTCTTGGCTTACTCCACTTCAATTCCCTGACACTCTCCTGCCTTAAAGCTTTTGTACTTGCTATTCGCTCTGCCCTGAACGCTCCTCTCCCAGATAACCTTCATGGAGCATCCCCTCACTTCCTTCAGGTATCCATTTGAATATCACCTTATCAAAGAGGCCTTCCACAACCACCTCTAAAACACGCACATCATTCTCTACCCCATTTATCCCACTTCATTTTTCTTCATAGCATTTATCATCATCAGACACATCACACATTTGTTTCTTGCTGTACTGTTTTTCCCCTACTACGATGTCAGCTCCTTATCTGTTTTTGTTCACTGCTGTGTTCCTGGTACCTTGACATAGCAGCTGAACAAATGAACTAGAACTCCCAGGGCCTAATACTGACCTTACTAAGCAGCTAAGACTGATTGGAAGCTTATGCCTGGTGCATACTAGGATCTTAACAAATTATCTGCTGAGAAAATGAAGATGGCAGTAAGAAGGACTATGAAGGCACAAACTGCCTATCTTCCCACCCCACCCATTGCCCCCAAAAGACAGAATCCTAGAGTCAATCATTCCCTCTCCTCTTCCCTCCCTTCTCTATGGCACAGGATGGCCACAGAACTGCATCTCTGAGCCAATGAAACAGGGTTCAGGATCGCCCATGGCAGCCAGTTCTCTGTGCCTGCAGGAGACAGGCGTCAGCGGGCAGCTTATTCAGCAATCACCATATGCCAGCTGCTGGCATTCTCTATAGAGTCTGGGAACCAGAGGCACACACACCCCAAACCCAGCAGGCGAAGGAACAGGTCAAGACAGAGTGCACCCAAACCCAAGAATGTGAAAGGTGGATGGGGAGGAATCTGATTTATAAGCTAAAGCATGGGGGTTTAGTGGGAGTTGAGCTGTTTTCTCAAAAACTATTTGTTTTGTTTGTTTCCTACTCTCCTCAGTTTGCAGCAAATTCCAGACTAGTACAAAGGAGCCAGATCGACAGCCCCTGGAGACCAAAGTACTAGTTTGTCCAAAAAACAGAAACAATGAGTGCTTATGGAGTGTTTCATCTTCAAAGGCCTTCCCAGACATCCACTAATGAGCCAGGCGTGGTGCTCCTGGTAGGTTCCTCAGAGGAGCCCTGCCCCTGACCCAGAGGACTCACACCCCAGGGAGAGGACCTGGCTCAACCTTAGGGCTCAACTTCAGCCAAGTCGCCCACTAGCCATCCTCCCTGCCCATCCTGCCTAAACCCACCCAGGCAGACAGATCCTAGAGGATCTGTAGGCAGGAAGGGACATCTGCCCAGCCAATAAGATCAGATTCCATCAACCCTGGCAATCTGTAGTAGTCAGACTTCTGGTTCTGCCACCCTCATCTCCGGAAATTAAAACGTCCCCAAGTTTTCCTAGTCTTGATCTTATTTCCTACTCGGCCTCCTCTTCTCCAGTTCCAGACGATACTTTGCTTTAAGGCTTTGGTAGTAGGCTCTGGAGAGGCTGGAGGCTCCAGGTTCTGAATTGGAATTTATGCCAGGCATTTATCTTGCTGTCCTTCATGAATGAAACGATTGCTGATTAAAGGATTACCAACCGTTGAGTGGCTGAAAAATACCCCTGGCCCCAAAACATGCACACACTGGCCTTTGGTTTGCTTCTTTGCTAAGCTAGCATGTTAACGTCTTGGTTCAAAAGCTGATCCCAGTGTTACACTTATTTCTCTTTCCTGGCATGTCCCTGAATTATCTGAGCCACTCACGTGGCACTTACTACCTCATGGAGCTTTTTCTCTCTTAGAAGTCTGTACATTTACCGTCTCTACAGTTTAACTGTATTCTCCATGGGCAAGGACTATGCCTTTTATTTATTTTGGATCTGTCCCCACTCCCAGTGCCAAGCCCACTATAGGAGTTCAACCAAGCACAGGGGCTGATTTAAGCCTCCTCTGAGGATGTCCTTATATCATTTCTTCTGCCCTAGCAGTACTTGGTATCTCTGTGTGAAGCACAGATGGTTTCTTAGATACCCTGTCAATTCTTGGCCATTTTCCACACCATATTTGACCCCAAGACTGGTTTGGAAACACCACAAAAGGACTAGAAGACTAAAATCGATGGAATTTTCTCTTGCCATTTAATACTCAATGGGCCTGATGGATAACTGATGAAATGCCCACGTAGTCACTGTGCGTCCTCTGGGGGCAGCGCCACACCTTGAAATTAGTGGACATTATGACTCCTCTTTAATACAATCAGGATCCGGTCTCAGATGAGCATTCCAAAGCGGGTGTTGGTTTTCTTGTCCTGGCTTTCTCTGTCCCTATCACCAAATAGCATGCTGCCTCTACGACGAGGATGGTGGCAACTTTCAGCTTTGTGTCATGAACACAAATCCTGGGTTATATAGCCGATTTTTACTTTCACCCATAATGCATTCCTAAAAAAAGCTCTGGGAAGCAGAATGAAAAAAAAATACATAAACCCTGGATTGCTTCCCTACGTACTGTACAGCCTATAGTTACTCTCTTTTACCACAGATGGCACTCCTGTGTTGAAAGGGCAAAATGCCAGGGTTCCACAGGCTGTGAGAAACCAGGAATCAGCAGTTAAAACTGAAGATGAGTGGCTTAGGATGCAAAATGGACTACAGCAATTATCCCTATTATTAAAAAGGTATATCTCAACATTCTATTTTACAGCCACAAGCTTTGTTATCAGTGGTACAAATAACAAGAGCTCTTAAGATGTGTTCCAGTACAATCCATGTGGACCACTGCAGGAGTTCAATCAAACACATTGCCTGATTTAAGCTTCATCTGAGGATGTCCTCACTGGCGACTACTTACTGCCCCCTAGTCCATCCTCACCCCCCGCCCCCACCAGGAGAGGCAGGCTGTTGCCATGACTGCTCAGCCATCCTGGCTTGTGTGTGTTGCAGGAACATGCCTGCCTCACTCTCCAAGTGATTCTGAGAGTCACACTCAGTCTACCACACACAACTCCCCCGACCTGACTCTGGTGGCTGACTCAGGCTTGCGTCCTATGACACCTACCTCTGAGGGGACTTCTGATCTGACACCACCTCCTCCTCTTCAGGCTGCATGGGTCCAGGGAAAGGAAGACCAAGGTCTCCCAAACCCTCTACTGCCAGGTAGGTGCACTAAAAGCAGCTTTGTTCCCAGACAATTTTCACCTTGAGATATCACTAATAGATATGCTATTTTTAGTACAGCCAATGGAGCAGACCGATAAAATGTAAGGAAACAAAAGCAGGGTCTGCCTGTACTTGGTTTCCTTAGCACAGCTGGCTTGTGACCTCTATAAACTTTCCAAGTTTTTGTCTCAAGAGCACTGTAATCACAAACACACAAGAACTCCTAGATTAATATCTCAATGACTTCTACTGGAGATTTCCCAAAGCCAAGAAACAGCTTCTGATGTCAGCTTCCATCCATTCACTAAGCACTTATTGGGTATACGGAACTAGGGATACAGAGAGGAAGACAACTTCTGCCTTCATGAAACTCAGTCAGTGGGAGAGAAAGACAAGCAAACAGAGAATTACAAAACAGCACGAGAGTAAGAGTGGAACAAGCACACAGTATTATGGGGACAGCAAGCTGGAGCAGTTAACCAAGACTAAGGAGTAAAGGGCAATTCCCAGACATGATTCTCAGGTCAGCGCCCCCCCCCCCACAAGCTGACTCCGACAGAATAGGAAGTAATCAAACAATAAAGAAGAGGGAGTGGGGGAGAGGGAACATGTGTCAAAGGCATAAAGACCTGAGTTAGAGACAGCATTTTTTACTAGCCAAAGCCAGGCACAGTTGGGAGTCAGTTTATTTGGATGCCGCATGGTGAGTAAAAGGAAGTGACGACACTGGAGAGATAAGAAGGGGCTAGATCATGAAGGGCCTTAAAGGCCATACTTAGTAACATGATCAAGTATGTGCTTTAGAAAGACCATTCTCTCTGAGCACCTGGCTGACTCAGTCAGTAGAGGATGCAACTCTTGATCTCAGAGTCGTGCGTTCAAGCCCCATGTTGGGTGTAAAGCTTGCTTTAAAATAAAAAAAAAAAAAAAAAAGGCCATTCTGGCAGTCATTTAGGTTGTAAATTAAAAGGGGAAAAAGACTTGAGGCAGAGAGAC